GAAAGTGCAAACAGTAGTTCCTTGCAGCAGAAGGAAGAAGAAAGAAGAAGGAGATTGTTCTCCTTTGACTTCTTCTTGGTGGCTTGTGGTGGAAGATAAATTGAGTTTATTTCTCTTGTAAGTTTATTTTTTTCGGTGTAGAGCTTCTTCGATGTATCTCGGTATAGAAAGAGAAGAACACAGAGAGAAGAAGAGAGAGCAACGAAGTGAGAAATTCCTAAAGTAGTAAAATCCTCAGCAACTCCATGGACGTAGGCAATTTGCCGAACCACGTAAATCTGTGTGTTCTTTTGTGGCGCTACTATTTTCTGGTGTAAATTTTCTCGTTCTAGTTTTCGCTTTGTCGATCGTTCTCCTGTTTGATATATATATATATATATATACCACATCAACTGGTGTATATAGTTCACAATGACCAGTATTATAGATAATAATTGTAGATGAAGTGAATGTTTAAGGGATCGAGAAATTTGATGACACAAATTTTGGTTATTATATGATACAGATAGATAATGAGAAGAAACTTCATCTTCCGTTATTGAGGAAAAAACCTGAAATGATGGAAGAAACTGAATGAAATTTGCTAAATCGATAAGTTTTGGGGGTTATTTGATTGACTCTATCGAGGTCGGTTGCACACAACGTCATCAAGAAAAAGACGACTGCAGATCGCAGATCTCATTGCAGCCTCATCAGGTATGTGTGAAAAACCATCGACGAATAACAATGTATATTTGATGAATAAGTTATTCAACTTGAAGACGATGGAAGATGTTTTTGTTGCTCAACACCCGAGTGATTTCAATGCTATCACAAATCAATTGTCGTCTGTTGAAATTAATTTTGATGATGAGATGCGTGTGCTGATATTGTTGGCATCATTGACAAATAATTGGGAAGTCATGTGGATGACAGTTAACAGTTCTGCAGGTAAATCTAAACTGAAATATGATGATATTCGTGATTTAATTTTGGCTGAGGAGGTGTGCAGAAAAGAGTCTGGCGAGGTCTTAGGTACGAGTTCGACACTGAATGTTGATTTCAGAGGGAGAAGACAAGAATGAAATTCAAATAAAGAGAGATCAAAATCAAAGTTTGGTCAGCATACAACCTACTAAATTTGTGACAAGGCGGCCACATAAAGAGGAACTGCAGGAATCCCAATAATATGGAGAATGATAGTGATGTAGTATCTGAAGAAACACATGATGCACTGTTGTTGACAGTTCATAGTTCTGTTTATGATGGAAGTGAAGAGGAGAGTGGGTCTAGGACACCCATTCCTATTGTTCCACAGACAGATTATGGAGAACCACATAATGATGAAAAAATATTGTAAGATGAAAGTTTGAGTAAGTGGGAGCTGACAGAACTTCCACTAGAGAATAAGACATTACATGGCAAGTGGGTGTACCGGGTGAAGATTGAGCATGATGACAGTAAGAGGTACAATGATAGAATTGTTGGAAAAAAACTTTAAGCAGAGACATGATATTGCTCATATAGTAGGAGTTGTAAGCAGAGACAAGAGTAATCAATGAAATAACTTGGAGGTGCAAAGCTATGTTGACCCATGCTGATATGTTGACTGAGGGTGTTACTCTTGAAAAGCTGAAGTTGTGCGCAACTTCAGTTGGTTTTCTGAAGTGAAGACAGAGGCTTTAAGTTGCGGAAGTGGAGGATTCATGGTGGAGGATTCAAATTTGAAGAAAAGGGCGATGCCGCCAATGAATATCAGTTTGAGGAAGGAGATGTTGTAGATTGTGTATCGGTCTCCAAGTGAAAGATTGTTAGACTTGGAGCCTGATAATTTCCCACTCCCGCTATAGGATCCCGCTCCCGATCGCGAAACCCACGAATTGCTCCCGCTCCCGTCTCCCGCTCGGTCGCGAACTATTCTTGCGAACAATTCATTATTTAGTGAAGAGTCGCGTCTGTCGTGACAGTTCCCTTCATGTTCGTGATAAAGGCTTCAAATGACTCTTCTTGAGTTTCTATGTCACGTTTTTGGTGTTCTTCTTCTGTTTACTTGAGACAGAGGAAGGAAAGTGCAAGTAATTGTTCCTTGCAGCAGGAGGAAGAAGAAAGGATAAGAAGACTTTTCTCCCTTGGCTTCTTCTGGGTGGCTTGTGACAGAAGAGAAATTGACTTTATTTATTTTGTAAGTTTATCTTCTTTGGTGTATCTCGGTATATAGTTTCTTCGGTGTAGAAAGAGAAGAAAAGAGAGAGAAGAAGAGAGCAACGAAGTGAGAGATTCCTCTTGTAAGTCGAGACAATCGACTGATTTATATATCATATCTCACAACACACTTCTTAGCTCACACTGAGTCTAGATACAACAAACTTTTCAATACTCGGTTCGTTTGCAACCCTAATTTGCTCAACTAAGGAAAAAAGAAAAAAAGTTACAAATTACAATGTAACATAAATAAACTAAAAATTATAAAAAATGTTTGCAAAATTTACCAATACAACACAAAAAAAATATTTATATTTACATACATAGGTTTAAATTTGTATGATCACATTAAAAAAAATATAAGTACATATACTTGGCTTTTAAAATGTGTATTACATATTTTCATTCATATTTTCGTGGCACAAAATATTATAAATATAAATATAAAAATCTAATTATTAAACATATAAATATATATTAGCCGTGGCGTGTGTATGTAAATTATTCATTTTTGTTTTTTAAAATTTATGAGCACCTGTATTTATATATTTCACACCTAAACTCGTTTCTTTATTTTCTAAGTATATTTTAGTGAATTATAGAAATATAATTTTTCATACATAAAAAAAATTGCTTTAGATCAGAGCTGTAGGGTAGTCCGATGTCAGCTAGGTGTAGGACCGAAAAACAGTATTGAAGTACTGGGCTGCCCACCACCCATAAGAGCTTTTTTTGGAGGTGAAAAGTGATATCAGAGTAGATTACTACATGCCAGAAGTGTAGACTCTCCATGGTCCAATGAGACCCTAAGAGGAGTCGATCAGTGGCGAGGGCGCCACGTGATTATGTGGAGAATAATTTCACGGACAAAAAGTCCCACATCGTCTAGGTGTATGACCGAAAAACAGTGTTTTAAGTCCTGAGCTGCCCACCACCCCTAAGAATTCTTTTGGGAGGTGACATGAACATGAGATTTGTAAATCAATGAGAATTGAGTGCAATGAATGAAAATCCCCCATTTTTTTGTTTTTATATGTAAAGTGGTACTAAAATCGTTCTCCTTTCTACGAAAAAATATTACATCAGTACTACACACGTAGAAATACCGTGCGTAGCCAATAAAATCACGCCACGCGCGACAGGAGAAAAAAACGGCGCAGTAACAGGGAATATTCCCCCCCGTGTTATTCATGTGTTATTGCGTGTTATTCATGTGTTATTGATGTATTATTGTGTTATTATAACATCAAGAATATTCTCAGGATACAATAACACATGAATAACACACAATAACACTTGAATAACACGGGAA